TCATTTAATGTGGAAGGTCAAGAAAAAATAGGACTTGTTGGACGTACTGGATCTGGAAAGTCAACAATAGCATTGGCAATGTTTCGATTTGTGGAGCCATCAAATGGAAAAATTTTAGTCGATGAAATTGATATTTCATCTATTGGTGTCGAAGATCTTCGGTCAAGAATAACTATAATTCCACAAGATCCTATATTATTTACAGGTAATCTTGGTAAAGATAAACTGTTACCTGCCTTTTTCTGATAAAGTAATAATTACAATTTTTTTTTTTCTTAGGTACAATACGGTCAAACCTTGATGCATTTTCTCAATATGAGGATAGAGAAATATTGGAATCATTACGACGTGTTCACTTAATTCCTTCTGCAGAGGATGTAGAGACTAATTCATTTTCAGATGATAATACCAATTTATTTAAAAATTTGGATACACCTGTAAGTGAAGGTGGAAAAAACTTTAGTCAAGGGCAAAGGCAATTATTATGTCTTGCTCGAGCTTTGTTAAGAAGGTCAAAGATTATATTGATGGATGAAGCCACTGCAAGGTATTACTAATAATTCCGTTTAAAATATTTAACTCAGTGTAGCAGCTCATTAATGTAATTACCCTTTAATTATTAGCATTGATTTTGCTATGGATGAAAAGATTCAAAAAATGATAAGAACTGAATTCGCTGATTGCACGATATTATGTATTGCACATCGGCTACGTACTGTTATTGATTATGATAAGATACTAGTTGTTGGTATGAAATAAATTCCTATTTATTAATGTTCTTTAACTTTCTTTAAAAGATGGACCCTAAGATTTTTTTATATTTTCAAGATCGAGGAAATATAATAGAATTTGATAGGTAAGCAAATCATTATATTATACAATGAATTATACACATGTATTCATGTCGTTTATTAATTTATTCATGCATTTATATGTCATCAACTTAGCCCATACAACTTAATTACCGATAATAATTCCTTATTTTATCGAATGTGTCAAAATTCTGGTGAATTTGATTTGCTAATGTCATTGGTTTTAAAGGATAAGGCTGATAGAGTGATCTAATAATTAATACAATATTGGCGTTTATAAATGTGTGATTAGTTGTATAATTAGGCATATGTAAAAATATGCATTTAAAATTTAATCTACATTTCATCGAAGATGAAAATGAAAATTAATTAGACATTTAAAATTTAAAGATCTCTTTGTAGAAAAATCAATGTAAAATTTCAAAATATTGTAGAAGATAATCATGATTAGTAAATACACAGTAACATAACTGGAGATGTGTCGCATACAGTGTTTAAAATTACCTTGCACAAGATGCACATGTGCAGGTAGTTTTTTTTTT